TCCGAAAGTTTGCGTATCTAGTGATTAGCATTGTGTCAATTTGCTATGAATGTTGGTTTTTGATTACCAAAAATGTACTGAAGTCTATTTCAAAATCTACAATCGTCAGTTGAAATATGAAAATGATCATAACAATATGCACATAATATTGTCGTAAACATGGTAACTGACCCAATATTTGACAGCCGGGTAGTCGATGTATAGCAATATCGCACACAACGCTCCTAAGATATGCGCATAAAAGCGTTAGAAATTACCAACAACAATTATTAATTTCAGTGTACAAAGTGAACAAAAAGTTTTTATTTCTTTTTTTAATTTCATATCTATATAACCCAATGTATACCATTCATATATACATCGTGATGTGGTGTCCAATTCGTTTGATATATAGAATTTATCGGTGAAAAATATCACATTTGTAAATTTGTGAAATCAAGTTTTGCATTTTAATGCAGTAGTGTAGATGATGTCAACATATAGTTGATTTAATTAAAATCGTGATGTCAAGTACACAGAGGACATCCGGGGATTCTTTTCGATGTCGTCTGAAATGGTTCAATAAGGTAGGCGTATTAACAGAGGATAAAGATAGTGATACAGACTGAACGTTGGTGTAGGAACACTTGATCACTTACAGCACTGTTAGACTGGTGATTTGGAAGTCCTGGTTCTTAGTGAAGCCAACAGGGGGAGGGGGTGGGGGATATTGGAGAAGATCAAACATTGTATGACACCGCTACGTTGTAAACTTTCCGAAGTAAATTGTGCAAGATGATGGATATATTCACTGAATTTTTATCAGTACTACCATTGAAGCTGGATATTCAAAATACTATGTGTTTGATGTCGGAAAACACATTTTTTTTCAAAACTAGCATGACATGTTTATTTTTGGTGAATAAACACGGGGACGATATCGAGACGGTTTCTCCAATTGCAACACCAGAAATCTTACCATATCTTTGATTCTTATTCAACAAACTTATTTCCCACCAAACGTAAAGATACTTCATTCAAAAAGTTGTCAAAGTTATCATTTTATGACATGTGAAAAACAAATTAGAAAAATTAGAACATGATTGACATAAGAGACAATCACACCATTGTCCGGCTGGCATTTTCACACATGATCACGGGTTACATCAGTTCATCGAGTTTGATAAGTATTAATGGCACATGAGAAAACACATGTTAATGTTTGTACCAGTGATATGGTCCCGACGCCAGCGACATTTTCATATATCTCACTGTTCTCAGGACCAGCAGCTTCAACACATAGCGACCATTGTTTCGCTGAGACATAAAAAACTTCACCGAGTCAACCAGGTATTAACCTTTCAACAGTCGTCCTACAGCATAATTACCAACGTAATTAGCTCTAATTCACACGTCAGCCGTAATTACCATTTATAGAGTATGATAAGGACAGAGGTCAAATTAATAGCGTTTTAAACAGACATTATACACAACATGTTGTATGGGAGAGTCATATTTTCTCAAATGAGAACGAAATAATGACATCTCCCCTGTCTATATTAAATATAGCACAGCTATCAACTGTTTTAAATCATTCTAATGCTATTAATTTACTCAGATATGTACAAATAACGCCTATAAATGATCACATAAACGAGATTACGACTGCTTGTGGATCACTAGGTTCCATGTCAACAGGAGTGCACCCGTTATACCGACTGCAGTCCTTAAGTACAATACATCCATGTTATTTTATCCATCGTAACGGACTACATATCTATATTCAACTCAAAATAAAAGTTTTATTCGGGATTTTAATTCTGTAGACGCAAGTCGTAAATATGGTAAAGGATAGTGTGGAGCTTGTCATCAGGATGTCACCTTTTTACTTTATCTATTTATGTGGTACTTATGTATCAGATCACCGGTCTCACACCCGTGTAGCCTCATACCTCCTCGAGATATCTACCAAGATCGTCAATTCAAAAACGGAACTCTTTTATGTGTTTTGTGGTAATAGAATCGGGTTGCTTTCTTCTAATTATTAGCTATAGTAACAACGGGCATTTACGATCTAACAGGTACTTGTGGGGTATAAATGAGAAGGCAATTCTCTTTTTAAGAAGGGGTATTTATTGGCAGTTAAAGGGAGAAAAATACAAAGTGATGCGGGACCTCAATTAAATATCAATCAAAAACTCTAAATGACAAGGTTATGGGGTCGACGTCTACGAGGAGCAATAAAATGCAGACCACGTGACCAAAACGTTGATATCTGAGAACACCTGCAGAATGTAAGGTAATACATTTAAAGTCTAGAAAGAACCTGTAATTAGTCAAGTTTTTTTTACGTAAAATTCCTTGAGAATGATATTTGGATTTTTTGTTGGTTTAAGTGGTGTCTTACTAATTGTGTCACCCTACGAATTGATTAGTATATATCAATACACTGTACTGTGGGTTTTTTTTATTCTAATTAATGAACATATTTAATCATTGTTGTCTAATCTGATCATATACTGTTGATACAGGACAAAGTGAAGTGCATGCCTTTGGCTTCAATGATAATTTGTTGAGGATGAATTCCTCCAAAGTATAAACAAAGACACAAACGTTTCTTGTGAGTTGTTCCCCGTCTGTACCGCTCTCGTCCCTCCTTTCTTTGTTTGTGTTTACGGCTTCCTTAACTCTCTTTGATGGAAGGAAGATTTTCAATTTCCCTGGGTCACACATACCGTGTGAAAAATATACCAACTGGCACTTAGCTAAACATTTTTATAAGCTACAATTACATCGGAAACATTCTGAGAGGAGAGCGAGAAGATGTTTTTAGAGGGTTTCTTACTGGATGTAAAACTCGTTGGAATTTAAATTGAAACCTCACAAGCCCGGTAATTACATTGGAACGGGATAAGGTTTAGGTTGTATGTTAAATTTGACATAAATCAAGAACTTGGAGTTGAATCACATGGCCCGATCTTAAAACCTTCCACCTGTCTGTGCTGGCTGGATCACTGACATGCTTGTGTTCTCTATATATCTCCTTCGTTCAAACAAAACTAAGATATTGATTTTTTTAAACGTGACTAACAGATTCACAAGATATACATGATACCACGGGATGTATACAGTCTAATGTAGTTTTAGAAAAAAAGAAATGTCTTAAATAATTATAAGATGTCTGTCTACACACAAACGTTTGTGTAATCCACTGAGGCGCTTTTGATGTACAAATATACGGATATACAGACGAACGGCGAATGATTCTCAAACCGGAAAAGCGAAAGCGGAAGTTATTTTTGTATATATATTTTTCTTCGACTGTGTAGTAATTTGTCATACAAGAGATCCGGATTGGATTAAAGCTTCCGAACTTTACTATAAGCCTGTACATACTATATGATGATGTAAACAGGGGGAATACTAAAGCATAATATAAACTGATTGTGTAATCGGAACTGACAGTCCCGTTAAGACGAATACAAACTATTAACTCGGATATCCGGAGGAGAAAGCGTTATCTGCGTCGTAATAGTGAGGGCAGATAAAGTAACACAATAGTCACGAGGTGTGAGATACAGAATCGGAAACGACTAACTGTATATCGTACCCGAAAAATCTTGCACGTAGTGGCTAATATCTGCCATTGAAAGTCGTGTTATGACGTCACACACAGCGGTGTTACGGCCACACCTCCGGATGATGAGCCATCAAACAGTAGTTCCGACTTTTTTCAAAAGATGAAACATTTCCGAAACGTTCTCACTTTAAAACATGTACATAATACAACATACGTCGACAGGTGAAGCCGCTGTGTTCGGCAGGGCATACACTTTAAATAAATAGAATTCGTATAGCTCCTGTGAAAACATAAAGATATGTTACATATAATGCACACGTGTTTCCGTAAAGTAGAATCGCTGTGCTTACGTGTAGAACGAGCTGTGTGACCAACAAACGGTCCTTACGAAACCGTTACTGACAGCGGGTAACACAGTTTTACTGTCGCCTTCAAAAGACTACAGCTGGCTATAACATTCAACATTTAGAGGTAAATAATAGATTCATACAACAAGACTTTGTTCAAGTGTCGCTCTGAAAATAAAATTGTGTAATAAGTACAATAAAGATGCAAGACTTTTAAGATGCCCAAGTATCTCCTGTAAACACACATTGCTGCTTAACCTCGTTGTTAGATAATGATAAAACACCAGATTTTCACCTCTGATGGTTTTAGAAAAATATCAGCTGACACCAAGGGAGGTAAGTACGATACAAGACTTGAAATTTTACCGAGATCCAGGATAACATCACTTACCACACACTCAGATCACATATAATCGCATACCACACACTCAGATCACACACGGAAAGGTATCACAGAAACTAGATTACAAATGTCCGCCAAATATAAACATCGATCGCAATTTCCCGAGAAACACCAGAACGTACTTCACACCCTTAAGAACACGCCAAACAAAAAACGTATGTATGAACACACTGCTGTCAAACAAGAAAGTGTATATATCACACACCGTTCACAGATGTCCGTCAAACAACGACACATACCACACACACCACGATCGCTACCTTCCGTCAAACACGGGAACACATCACACGTGTTCCGCTCACAGCTGTCTATGAAACACGGGAACATATCACATATGCAAATCGCAACTGCCCTTCAAACAGGGAAACGTGTATATGACATAGCCTGATCGCAACTGTCCGTTAAACATGGAAACCTTACACATCGATTACGATTGTCCGTCAAACATGGAAATGTATATCACAACCCAATCCAAACTGATCACCCTAAGTACAACTGCCCGTCAAACACGGAGACGTATTCCGATATGGAAACATTTCGCAAACATCCTAATAATTACTGTACATCACTTCGATCACAAAAATCCGGATCATTCGGCAAAAAATTTGGATATAGTAAATATCGTGTATCTATCACAATTGTCTGTCCGCGATGGCAGCGTAGATGTATCACACACCTTAATAATAAATACCCGTCACATACCAAAACGTGTCGCACACCCCCGATAGCAAATGTCCCTCGCATGCCTCTACGTGTCGCACACCCCCGATAGCAAATGTCCCTCGCATGCCTCTACGTGTCGCACATCCCTGATAGCAAACGTCCTTTACACGCCGTAACGCGTCGCACACCCCCGATAGCAAATGCCCTATACACGCTTTAACGTGTCGCACACCCCCGATAGCAAATGTCCCTCGCATGCCTCTACGTGTCGCACATCCCCGATAGCAAATGTCCTTTACACGCCGTAACGCGTCGCACATCCCCGATAGCAAATGTCCCTCGCATGCCTCAACGTGTCGCACATCCCCGATAGCAAATGTCCCTCGCATGCCTCTACGTGTCGCACATCCCTGAGAGCTAATGTCCTTTACACGCCGTAACGCGTCGCACATCCCCGATAGCAAATGTCCCTCGCATGCCTCTACGCGTCGCACATCCCTGAGAGCTAATGTCCTTTACACGCCGTAACGCGTCGCACATCCCCGATAGCAAATGTCCCTCGCATGCCACTACGCGTCGCACACCCCCGATAGCAAATGTCCTTCGCATGCCTCTGCGTGTCGTACACCCCCCGATAGCAAATGTCCTTCGCATGCCTCTGCGTGTCGTACACCCCCCGATATCAAATAACCGTCATACACTTTAACATGTCGCGCATCCCTGATAGCAAATGTCCCTCGCATTCCTCTACGTGTCGCACATCCCTGATAGCAAATGTCCTTTCAACGCCGTAACGCGTCGCACACCCCCGATAGCAAATGTCCTTCGCATGCCTCTGCGTGTCGTACACCCCCCGATAGCAAATGTCCTTCGCATGCCTCTGCGTGTCGTACACCCCCCGATATCAAATAACCGTCATACACTTTAACATGTCGCGCATCCCTGATAGCAAATGTCCCTCGCATTCCTCTACGTGTCGCACATCCCTGATAGCAAATGTCCTTTACACGCCGTAACGCGTCGCACATCCCCGATAGCAAATGTCCTATACACTCTTTAACGCGTCGCACACCCCTGATAGCAAATGTCCCTCGCATGCCTCTACGTGTCGCACATCCCTGATAGCAAATGTCCTTTACAAGTCGTAACGCGTCGCACATCCCCGATAGCAAATGTCCTATACACGCTTTAACGCGTCGCACACCCCCGATAGCAAATGTCCCTAGTATGCCTCTACGTGTCGCACATCCCCGATAGCAAATGCCCCTCGCATGCATCTACGTGTCGCACATCCCTGATAGCAAATGTCCTTTACAAGCCGTAACGCGTCGCACATTCCCGATAGCAAATGTCCCTCACATGCCTCTACGTGTCGCACATCCCTGATAGCAAATGTCCTTTACACGCCGTAACGCGTCGCACACCCCCGATAGCAAATGTCCCTAGTATGCCTCTACGTGTCGCACATCCCCGATAGCAAATGCCCCTCGCATGCATCTACGTGTCGCACATCCCTGATAGCAAATGTCCTTTACAAGCCGTAACGCGTCGCACATTCCCGATAGCAAATGTCCCTCACATGCCTCTACGTGTCGCACATCCCTGATAGCAAATGTCCTTTACACGCCGTAACGCGTCGCACATCCCCGATAGCAAATGTCCTTCGCATGCCTCTGTGTGTCGTACACCCCCCCCCCACCCCCCCGATAGCAAATATCCGTCATACACTTTAACGTGTCGCGCACATGCCCGTCACCCACATGAATATTACGTCACAAAGAATCTCAATAGGTCACAGGTAAATCGGTCACATTTACCAATTAGTCAGATATTGTATCACTGAAGGGAAACATATCACTGAAAGTCAATATGTCACTGAAGGTCAATGTATCACTGAAGGTCAATGTTTCACTGAAAGTCAATGTTTCACTGAAGGTCAATATATCACTGAAAGTCAATGTTTCACTGAAGGTCAATGTTTCACTGAAGGTCAATTTATCACTGAAGGTCAATCTATCAATGATGGCCAATGTATTAATCAAAGTAAATGTATCAATGTGTCAATTTATAAGATGTTCAGATGTTTTCTTAGGAATCCTACTCACCGTCCACAACCATCCCGACCGTCCACAGCCATCCCGACCGTCCACAACCATCCCGACCGTCCACAGCCATCCCGACCGTCCACAGCCATCACCACCGTCCACAACCATCACCACCGTCCACAACCATCCCAACCGTCCACAGCCATCACCACCGTCCACAACCATTACCACCGTCCACAACCATCACCACCGTCCACAACCATTACCACCGTCCACAACCATCCCAACCGTCCACAACCATCCCAACTGTCCACAACCATCCCCACTGTTCTCAATTATCACCACCGTCCACAATCACCCCACCTTCCACAATCACCCCACCATCCATAACCATCCCCACTGTTCACAACCATCCCCACCGTCCACAACCATCCCCATTGTCCACAACCATCCCCACCGTCCACAACCATCCCCACTATCAACAACCATCCCCATCGTTCAATACCATCCCCACCGTCCACAATCATCCAACCGTTCACACCCATCTTCACTGTCCACAACCATCCCCACCGTCCACAACCATCCCCACCGTCCACAACCACTCCACCGTCCACAACCATCCCCACCGTCCACAACCATCCCCATTGTCCACAACCATCCCCACCATCACCAACCATTCCCACCGTCCACAACCATTCCCACCGCCCATTACCACCCCACCGTCCACTACCACTCCACCGTTCACAACAATACCCACCGTCCACAACCATTCCCACCGCCCATTACCACCCCACCGTCCACTACCACTCCACCGTTCACAACAATACCTACCGTCCACAACCATCCCCACCGTCCACAACCATCCCCACCGTCCACAACCACTCCACCGTCCACAACCATCCCCACCGTCCACAACCATCCCCATTGTCCACAACCATCCCCACCATCACCAACCATTCCCACCGTCCACAACCATTCCCACCGCCCATTACCACCCCACCGTCCACTACCACTCCACCGTTCACAACAATACCCACCGTCCACAACCATTCCCACCGCCCACTACCACCCCACCGTTCACAACAATACCCACCGTCCACAACCATCTCCACCGTTCACAACTACCCCCATCGTCCACAACCATTCCCACCGCCCACAATCATCCCCACCGTCCATAACCACCCCCCCCCCCCCCGTTCACAACAATACCCACCGTGCACAACCATCCACACCATCCACAACCATCCCCACCGTTCTGAGATTCAACTGTTACAATCTTAGACCCCAAGCATTTTAGCTCCTGAAGATGTGATACATTGTGTGTTATTGCGCACACCGTTATAGATTCTCTATGTCATCGTGGACAGATTCCCCTACCTTATCTCTATCTGTAGATTGTCATACTGTGTGGGATTTTGCTAATTAGAGATTGGAGCTGGACTAAATATAAACTCATGTCTCGGTCAGTAATAAGTAACGTAACAACTGAGCCAGAAGTCATAAAGTAGAGGTTTATTGTCAATGTAGAGAGATACAATAAAAGTTACAATGATACGGTAAATAAAAAAATCTAATTAAATAAGTTTATTATGTGTAAAATGGGCCGATGTTAGAAAAGATAGCATTTCTATATAAGCAATATCTCATGTACATATGTTAATGAATTAAATTTGATAGACCTCTTTTCACAATGTTCAACTTGTGCGTGTATGTAAAAGCACCATACAAACTAAGTTATGGAACAATTTAATATTTATTGTTATTTTAATTGATATCAAAATTACTTTTTTGATCGGGCTACAATAACTACTTCTAAAGAAATATCATTGATAACATCAACGTTACTCCTCCACAGCGAGAAAGTTGAACAATCAATTAGTCTACTCCGAGATATCATCAACATTACATTCAATAAGGTGGCAGCCACGACCTGATCTTGTTGACCTTTTCGACGCTTGACTGCGCATGCACTGTGATGTCGTCAAATTTATACGACAAATAAATACAAAAAAGTCACGAAGGTTGAGCGATTTTCATTTCCCTCGACTTTCAGTAAGATTCGAATATCTTACCAAGCGAGGCCTCTGAGACGTTGAAACTTGATATTCATTGTGAATTCGATCAGTCAGACTGCACGCAGAGTTATATAACAACAAAAGACTGGATATAAACGGAGCTCCCTTCACAGTCTTCTACACAGCAATATACAAACGAGGCCCTCTTTGGCGCTGCTCGCATCAATTGACAAAATGGAAATGAGCTCGAAATCCAAAGCCTGGCTTGTTACTATGTACCAGTCTACTGGCGGTTTGTTGTGAAAAATCGTCTCGGTCAAGAAGTACCAAGCTTGATGTTTGTAAACGTGAATGAGAATTAAGATTTAGGCGACGAAATACATTCTCTGCGTATGGTTGTAACTATACGTATTTATCATATCATTGATACAAGGATAGTATATGTCGTAGTGTCTATGAAAGTGACAGCGATGCTACACGAAGCCATCATGTTTGTACTGATGAAATGTTTGTCATCAGCACTAGCGACTTGGAGATAATTGTTACGTTGATGTTGCCTTTCATATCATCAATACGATGATTGTTATCATAATTTTCATTGGTTTTCATCACGCATATCGTTAGTAGTATATAATTTGTACATGTCGCCGACAACATGAAAATTTTATGTACACAGTTTTTTCGCGCTTTTCCTATCCTCTCGGTCTGTATGGTTATTCATTTTTGTTCTGTTGGGGACCCCCTAGAGTCCACTTCTATCACCCTGAAACCGAACAAAACGCTATATATAGACACTGATAATATCTATGTGATGCTTTTGATACTGCATCGATGTAGTAAAGCCTGCGATAACGATAGTTGTTTTTGAGGTGTGTATAGATACCGCAGTATCAAAGATATTGTAACACCGTGTTTGATGTATAAAATATCCGTCATTTTTATTTTACAACGGCGTGATCGTTTGAAATGTGCAACTACCGAACACGGTGAATTGTGCCCGATTTCCTCAAACGTCTACCAGTAAGGTCATTCTCGTCAACGTTAAATTTCTTCCGAGGTACACTTTTTTTCAATCCAAGGGAGGCAACCCATACGCTTTTAACACCACGAGAATTTAGTCGGAGATCTAAATTTTCACTCCGTGTAAATTCAAAAAAGGGAAATTCTCAAAAAAAAAAAAAAAAAAACATAAATAAATAAATAAAAAAAAATATTCTTTAATAATTCTGTGTAGTCAATTGCTAAGTAATTGTACAGTGTACATGGTTCACTTGAAAACGATGAATGGGAGAACCACTTTTCCAGTCGGTATCGGAAATCGAATACATTTTGTAGAACGTCTGTGAGAGATGTATGAAATGTTATGCATGCTTCTATGAAATCATTTTACCTTCTGTATTATACGGTGTAAATATATAACCAGAAAACTCGGTAAAGTATATGTTTTATCTTTACACTAGACATGCCAATTTCAGATTGCGCAGCCTTACAATGGCTGAGGGAGAATTGACAATCGCATGTTTCTCTACCTATTCATCAGCCTCACCTTCTATAACTAAAACCCCTTCCGTGCTGGCCTTTTGTCTCTGTCGACTGAAAAATCTATTTTCCCTTCAAATCATGTCGGAATATGTAAAAGTTGTGCAATATGATTTGATTGACAGTGAACCCCGCCCATCTGAAAGTGTGCTTGGCGTGTCAGTGTTACAGGCGCAGTTTAAGCAAGAGACCAAAAGGGCTTAAGCAATCCATCCCATTATTAAATGGCTTTGTCAGAAAAAATAAAAATAAAACAAATAGCACAGTTTTTTTGACAAAAACGTGTAATAATGTTTTCAAGCTTCAGTATAATGAACTCTTCTCAGCCTTTGTTTGTTTGTTTTTTTTTTTTTTTGAAATGAAAAGAAAATGATGAACGAAAAAATGAAAGCAAAATTAAATTCTACATTCACTTTAAACTACAATGTCATAAGATTTCTAAGACATTTGACACTAGTTTTCATGTCGACATCAGAATATCAAAACACATCTAGATCGTTTACAGTAAATTTCCATAGAATTTGAACTATTGAAAATCGCCTGCAATGACGCTTAACAAGAAATAGAACACTTGATTTCAATGTACTCGCCTTTCAACTAGACGTCCGAGGTTCCTCGTACGGGCGTGTCATCTGCCCGAGCACGTGGGTTTTCTCCTATTTCCTCCCATCGTAAGGCCCCTCGCGCGCTTCCATCAGAACAACATTGATTAGTATAAGCTCATAGTAATTGTTGTAAGATAATTCTAGTTTATATCTATATACAGGGCTTCCTCGCACTTTGCACTCATCAATCTCTCTTAATTGGATTAGTAGCAAGTTGAATTTATGGTCAAACGATGGTTTCAAGATGTCGGCGAAATCGGTGTAGCTTCCCGAGGTTGTGTGGAGATAGAGTCTCGATTTTTTACTCCATTATCTGTCATTTCCGGTTCGAAGAGAATTCACGAATTTTCCGATGAAAATGACACTGAGAGGCTACCGTATATCTGTCTGGGAACGATGCTTTCCTTCGAAGGACGCACGCGGATAGGCTTTCGTACTATTCTTATGTAAATTGCAGCAGTGGCTGTTTGGATTGCGTGTGTTGAGGGTTTGCCGGGACATGACAATCTGCGTATTCGCTGGGACATCATCAGGACTGTAAATAACAATGTGTTCGGAATGGAGAAGGGGCAAATTTAATGGAAGCACATGCTAGATAATTTGCACCAGCGAGCGCATCTCCGTACGTTGTTTAAGACGAAACGGCGACGCCATGGCATATGAAATTACTAGGCCCGACTTTTCAGGGAAATTATCTTTTACCCTTCAAAGGAAAAAAAAACACACTACGATGGATTTTCGATCCAGTTCCAAACATGCTTTCAGCAGATAGTGATAATGGTGGAAATCATAATGATATAATATTCATTCGTTAATGTTGTAAGATTAAAAAACAAAACAAAAACAATTATTACATTTAATGAAAACGAGATGTGTAATTTTAGATATACCCTATCATAGATTTTTATATATGCCTGCTTCGACAATAACATCAATGGAAAATTTCCTATCATGAACTTCAGATATCTCGAAATTAACCTTTCACGGCATATATATAATCTGGTAAGTAATATCAACGAAATGGTCCAATATTGATACTGGATCCTCACAAACAAATGTTCGTTGGATGCGTGTTATAGGAACAGATATATGATGAACATAAATTACACGTATACATAGAACATAAAACAAATACAAAGGTATAAAGATAAATCGAGAGTTGTGGTGTAATTTAGGGTGTCTCGATAATTTTCTTGGCCGATGGAGGCCGAAGGCCCGTTATAACGAACAAAAAACATCCTTATTTTTTTGTATATAAAATGGTGATTCAATTAAATATATAAAAAAAATTTCATATCAATTGCGGTATGTTTCGCATTGTAATCCACTTATACTTTTTCATTTCAGTAAGTAAATTTAAAGTACGAGTGTGTTGTTTGGAGATTTAGGAAGTGAATATAATGTACGAGTGTGTTGTTTGATTGGAGATTTAGGAAGTGAATATAAGGTACGAGTGTGTTGTTCGGAGATTTAGGAAGTGAATATAAGGTTCGAGTGTGTTGTTTGATGGGATATTGAGGAAGGAATATAAGGTACGAGTGTGTTGTTTGATTGGAGATATAGGAAGGAATATAAGGTACGAGTGTGTTGTTTGATTGGAGATTTAGGAAAGAATATAAGGTAGGAGTGTGTTGTTTGATTGGAGATATAGGAAGGAATATAAGGTACGAGTGTGTTGTTTGATTGGATATTTAGGAAGTGAATATAAGGTACGAGTGTGTTGTTTGATTGGAGATTTAGGAAGTGAATATAAGGTACGAGTGTGTTGTTTGATTGGATATTTAGGAAGTGAATATAAGGTACGAGTGTGTTGTTTGATTGGAGATTTAGGAAGGAATATAAGGTACGAGTGTGTTGTTTGATTGGAGATTTAGGAAGGAATATAAGGTACGAGTGTGTTGTTTGATTGGAGATTTAGGAAGTGAATATAAGGTACGAGTGTGTTGTTTGGAGATTTAGGAAGGAATATAAGGTACGAGTGTGTTGTTTGGAGATTTAGGAAGTGAATATAAGGTACGAGTGTGTTGTTCGGAGATTTAGGAAGTGAATATAAGGTTCGAGTGTGTTGTTTGATGGGATATTGAGGAAGTGAATTTAAGGTACGAGTGTGTTGTTTGATTGGAGATTTAGGAAGTGAA